CTTTTCTGATGAAGGGTCTAGGCCCGAAACGTCAGCCTCTCTGCTCCTATGATGCTGCTTGGCCTGCTGTGTTCATCCAGCCCTGCACCTCCCTTCACTATCCTGTTTACATAGGAGTCCACTTTCAAGGAACCATGAACCTGCAGTCCAAGCTTGCAGAATGAAAATTATATAAAAGACAAAAAAGTCATGAAGATGGGCAGAAATAATGATGGGAAAATAGATGTCAAGAATGAGAAACAACTGGAACAGATATTATAAAAGAACCTGGGAAGCATCTATCAGAATATTGTTACTGCCATAAATAAACTGAAGCTGGAATGGCAAGGGCAAAGAATTCAATCTTCAAACATAATGCATTTGAAAAGCACAGGATTAAGTAGAAATCTTTAAAAAAAAAAATCAATAAGTAAAAATAAACAATGGGGTATCTTGTTTATGACCCGACAGGGTGGGGGCAGTTAATCAGCTCTCCTCTGATCATTATCCTTTTAATACAGAACTACATCTCCCCTCAATAAATACATAATTAACTAGTTAGGGCACAGTTAAAGCAGTTAGGGCGCCAACCGCACGGTCTTTTTGAATAAAAAAAGTAATTTTAATTAGTTACTAATCCCAAGATAGATAATAAAGGAGAGGGCACCAAATGTGTACACAAATCTAAAGAAAATGTTTAAAAGGCAATTGCATCCAGTAAGTAATGTCTTGGTAAATATGGACTATTCATTTTTGGTCTTTGTCATCAGATTTCAATACCTGGGACCATCATGGATTAAAATTGTTTTTTTTAAGAAAGGGAATAAACATGGACTTAAAATGTCAGCATTCAAATGACCAGATGGGAAACACTTCTGATGAAATCAATAAGAAACAAGAACCAGTCTAAACCTTAAATAATCCGTTCACAAAATGCATCAAAACTCAGATCGGATTCTTTGACTCACACCTTGAAGGCTATGTTGACATGGCTTCTAATGAGATGTCTTCCCAGGGTCCTGTCCAACATTGATCCCACAAATTAAATTTAACATCAAGTTATCTGTTTCATTGCTGCATGTGGGCTTTTCTGTGTTGCAAATTGACGGCCACATTTCTTATCTTTTGTGCTACGATATTGACGATACTTCAAAACTAGTTCAGTGGTTATGAAGAGCTTTGGAACCTTTTTTGGATCATATACATTGCCATATAGAAACAGGTTTGTTCTTTCTACCCACAACCTAAAGAATACAAGTAAGATGTGGTGACTGTTTTTTTCCTGTGAAGTATTTCGTATTAGCTTACTAACTGGAGGCAAAAAGTGTCCTTTTTACGATTTGCTCTGGTTACTGAACCATAACTTACTATATAATGTGATGCATGGAGGACTGTTGGGTAATTCCCTCATCTGAATGCAAGTTATAAAGTGTTTTTGTAGCAGTTTGGCTTATAGTCCAGAGATTACTCTACTTGTAGAGATAGTAAGAACTGCCGATGCTGGAGTCTGAGAAAACAGTGTGGAGCTGGAGGAACACAGCAGGCTAGGCAGCATCAGAGGAACAGGAAAGCTGACATTTCCGCTCAGGACCCTTAATTTTACCTACTTGTAGGTTTTTTGATCACCATTTATAAGTGATATACATTCCTCGTATGAGATGTGTAGTTTGACAAGATCTAGAAAAATTATGTTGATCAAAAGTGGAAACATGGCTTCAATGGAAAAGACAAAAGAAAAAGCAAGGAATGTATAGAATGCAAAAAATCAATCCAACATCATGCTTTACTTCTCCACTGAAGTTGAAAGTTTTATCCTGTAGGTGTCAGTCTCACGTGAATGTCATCAGCTCTGCAAACAAACTTAGCTCAGCATCTACATTCACACTTTCCAGCAGATGTCAGCAAAGTGTAAACAGTAGCAGGAATCTGCACAATCTTTCCTGTTAGTAGCTTTAAGAGTTGATACCAATTCACACCTATACTTAACGTATGGTGAGTGAAAACACAAGAAAAACTTAAATTTTTATTTGTTGCCAAGGACTGCTTTCAGAATTTGCACTTCATCTTGAGATCAGCTCCCAAAACAAAAGGAAATAGACTAAATGATTTAAAATGAAAATTTGTTTTGTTTTGCAAAGGTCAGCAAATTGAATTTCACTAGTATATTGTGCTTCTGAAATTCACAGGCCGATGCATGGAAGTAGAGGGGAGAGAAAATTACCTCCAATCTGACTACTTCCACGATCTGGCAACTCCTCCTTCCCAGCCCCCACCTACCCTATCTACCTGGCAGCCTGCCCACGTATCTATTTACTTCACCCACTAAACACAACAACAGTTCCAGTGTTGATCACAAGATTTGGGCCACTGGTTCTATGCTAAGTTGCAGGATCAGTTCTCTCCTATGCATTGATCAAGTGGCTACTCTTGCTATGAAAGCATGTTCAATTCAAAATTGGAAGCGGCAGATCGCAATAAGCCAACATTTTGTACTATTAAGCATGGAGATCCAAATGTACTGAGTCCAAGACAATTAATGCAGGATGGGAAGAGGTCAAGAGTACCTAAGAGGATTTTCTGCACAGCAGTAGGGCACAAAGTCCAACGGGACTCCAAAAGAGAGACTTCTCCAGTTTGAACCAAAAATGACTACTGCCAACAAAACAATGATTCATGATACTTTTTTAAAAAAAAAGTCACAAAATTTATGGGTGATTTGGTTCTCCCTCACCCAGTGTGGCTTCTATTGCAACCCAACCACCATTTTAACTCAGATCAAGGAACAGGGATTGAACTGTTGTTCTTGCTGATCTGCATTGCTGCCCAGGTGAGATCGAGAATGGGAAATACAACTATGTCAGAATGTAGTTGTGCTGTTTCTGGAACAGGTGATAGAGTGAATATTTATGCTTACAAAATTACTTCTTATAAATTTATTTTTAATATTCTCTTACAAACTGAAGGCCGAAAACAATTGTTCTTTGAATGATTAAGAAACAATAAAAGCAGTCTTTTACTTTCAAGCAACATACTTTTCTGTTCTGATAACCTTCACTGCTGTTTCTAACTTCGATGATGCAGACTGGAATGATCTTATGACGATCAAAGTGAATCTCCAGTCATGTCTATAAATAAGTTACATAACTGTGCCCAAACTGAATGGCACAACCGGAAAACTGGCAATTAAACTGAACAGATAATTCCACGTTACTAAATCAAACAACAAATTACAATAAAGCTTCAGGAAGATCCAAATCTTTTATATTCTTCATTGAAAATATTCTCATCATTTTAAAATATTCAAACTATTAGAAAAATTCTCAACTTGAACATGAATTTTGTTCTGTTAAAGCAATTGCAAGTAGCATCATAGGGTACTAACTTAAAGAATATCTATTTTCATCTGAATGGAGTACAGTACATTTCAGTCCTGTGGAAGTGTATGAAAATTCAATTCTTTCAGACCACTATTCAATTTTGGGGGGGGGGGGTGAGGAGTTTCTTTTATATGTAACTCCTTTACTAAACAAAGACAAGGAGCAGGAAACTACAGGCCAGTTGGCTTAACATTTCTCAGGAAACATGCTAGAAGCTATTATTTAAGAGTCATTGTAACAGGATAGTTGGGTCAGTTCAAAGGTAAATCAGGCTTAGTCAACATGGTTTTGTCAAAGGGAAGTCATATTTAGCTAATTAAGCAGAGTTCTTTGAGGTAGTAATTTGTGCTCTGGATAAAAGATGTACTGGACTTAGTTTTCCAGAACCCATTTGATAGGGTAGCATATCAAAGGTTGTTATAGAAAATAAAAGCTCTTGGGTGTCAGAAGTAACATATTGGCATGACTAAAAGATTGGGTATCTAAAAGGAAGCAGATTAGGAATAAATGAATCTTTTTCAGGCTGGCAGGATGTCATGAGTGTCCCACATGGGTCAGTGTCAAATCCTCAACACTTTACAATTTATGTAGATGATTTGTATGAAGGGATTGAAGATTGTGTTGTTAAATTTGCTGATGACACAAAGGAATGTAAGAAAGTGAGTAATAAAAAGGATACAAAGGGATATAGGTAGGTTAAATGAGTGGGCAGGGATCTGGAAAATGATCTATAATGTGACAATTTCACATTTTCCATCTTTACAGAAAGAATAAAAGAAGCATATTATCTAAATGGTGAAAGGTTGTAGCGCTGAGATGGAGAGATCTGGGTATCCTGTATATGAATATCAGAAGGCTAGCATACAGGTACAACAAATAATCAGGAAAGCGAAAGAATATTATGCTATATTGAGAGGGGAATTGAATTCAAGGGTAAGGAAGTTATGCTTCACTTATACACTGATGAGACCATATCTGGAGTATTATGTACAGTACTAGTCATTGCACCTACAGAAGGATGTCAATGCCTTGGAAGTTCAGAGAATGCTCACTATCTAATGCGTGGAATGAGCAGATTGCCTAATGTGGAAAGGCTAGACAGACCATGCCTGTACTCTCTGAAGTTTCGAAGATTCAGAGGTGCAAATTGTAATGTACAAGATCCTGAGGGTCCTTGAATGGGGGGACATTGAAACAGTATTTCCAATTCTGGGAGAATCTAGAACACAAACATAAAAAGGGTCACCCAATTAGGACAGATGTGACAAGAACCTTCAAGAGTTTTTTGGAATTATCTTCTTCAAAAAGATAACGGATGCAGAACTTTAGATATTTTGAAGGCAGAGGTAGATAGATTCTTGATTGTCAAGGGAATGAACAATTATTAGGGATATGCAGGAATGTGGAGCTGAAGTTAAATTCAGATTAGCCATGATCTTTTTGAATGGCAGGGCACATTCAAAGGGCTGAGTAGGCTACACTTGTTCCTTGTCTGTACGTTCACCATCCAAAACAATGCCCCATGATGTAATCAACAATCACTGGCAAAAATAACCTTTGGCCATCTACAGAAGTATCAAAAAGGGATGTTCATATCAATTCCACTTTTTTGACAAAGTTTAAGAGAGGTTTTAATGATGAAATCCCATTTTGGCTATGATACATCACTGTCAGTAAGAAGCCTTTCCAATGCTTTTTCTCTCAGGGTCCAAAAAGATAGCTCTCATAGCCACACAACAATTGTAATTCATGCCGCTCCTCTCAGAATTGCATGCGCGCACGCACACACACACACACAGAATTTATATATTCTCTTGCATTCAATTTTTCAACAGTTCAACAATTAGTAGTGGTTTGTTTCCCTGGTATAAAAATGTAGAACTCCAGCCAACATGGAAAGCTCTCCCCAACAGTGTACAGCAGCATTAATTCCAATGATGATTATTTCAAAATTTTCCAGTCAAATCAAATATTGTATTAGATGATTTCAGCTTGTTCAGAAGCATTTGTTCAGCAGTAATGTTGTGGTACATCATCTGCAAATTCAACAGTTCAATTATTAGCGTTCAAAATATACATGAAAATTTCACCTACTAAACCCAAACCAAACAGGTTTTGTTCTTAAGAAATCCGATTTACAGCATCCACAGTTCTTTCAGTTTTTGTTCTTAATAACACTTCCATTCATAAAACACACATTAGTTACAGACATGACTCGTAGTTTGGACTTAAAATCGTACTGAGTCACAGCGCTGAACTTCTCTCTCCTGCAATTCAGAGCAAATTTATCACCAGTATTATTAAAAAACTGGCAGTAATAACAGTGACAGATTACAAATCCTTTTAAGATCAGCCTGAGTATAAACATTTAATTTTTGCAAATAAGACCTATCGAGCTGGAGAATATAGGAGAATAATCCAACAAAATTAATGTGGTTCCCCAATTGCTGGGGGAACACAACATTTACAGAGTGATAGAATTTGCAGTTCATGTTTTCCACTTCATCCAAGCCACCTACAATGTCTAATTCCACACACCAAATCACTGTCATGTTACTCAGCAATAGAGTCTAGTTTCAAAATGATTTCCACTTTCCATCCATCACACTGCAGCCCATAATCACTGTATTAATAGTCCCCTTTTGTTACATGCCAACAGAAGGCAGGACTGCTGTCACTTATTAAATGATATAAAAGGGAGTTTTCACAGTACTTCTAATTCAAACCCATTTACTTTGGGTCAGCAGTACAGACAGAAGATTAAAAAAAAGTGTCAGTGTCAAGATTAGGGATTTGTTCAGTTTCTAATCATAAGATGTTAGACTCCATTTAAAGTTAACTGGGTAAACAGCCTTTCAGTCCTTACTTACACACTATTACTTCACCTAGATCCCATGGTGTTTGCTCTTCTTGGCCTGATGTTGCTGGGGACTTCCTTAAAAATTGCAGGTAGTTCTTAATAAATTTAGTCTTGAGCAGGAAAGCTACTGAAGCCAGAGATAGGGAAAGCTATTTCCAAAACAGTGGAATTTTTTTTTTTTAAAAAAGGAAAGCTGTCGTTTTGGAAGCCGGAAGGAGTCGAATCTTCAGTAAGATCTGTTGTTTTTTTTAAGGAAGCGATTTACAAGGCATGGTGAATGTAGTGAGTGTAATGAGGTCAGCCCGGCTGACAGCATAGAATACGCGTTCCGAGTGGATGGGATTAGCGGCCTCACGTCAGGGGGCCCTGACCGACAGGTGTGCACGTGTGCAACATCCTGATCGTTCAGAACTGGCTCTGAGGGAACCGGATCGGTATCAAGGACTGTCCATGTGTAAATAAAGGGCAACTTAACAATGGAATCCAGCCTCTGTGCTGTTATTTCAGTGAACAGAATGGTAAGTGTAGGAAGGATCCTCCTGACGAGCATCCAGAGTCTAGAACCAGGGGTCACAATCTAAGTCCTAAATGGCCTATCCCACATCCTGAGATAAAAGGAGTGATTTCTTCACAGAGAATATAGCGAGCCTGTAGAATTCTCTGCCACAGAAAATAGTTGAGGCCAAAATATTGAAAGCCTTTGAGGTAGGCATAGTTCATGCTAAAGGACGCAAAGGGAATAGGGCAAAAGCTGGAATAAGGTATGGAGTTGGATGATTCAACATGATCATACTGAATGGCAGAGCAGGCTGGAGGGGCCGAATGACCTACTCCTTTCATTTAAAACAATTTTTGATTCTTTTTCCACTTAAAATGTATTTGAATATCCGTTATATCATAACGCCTGGTTAAAATTGGAAGCACTCATTTCTAGCTCAGAAGTAAGTGGCTGTAAGTTCCACATAATCAAGGATGTTATCCTGGCCAGACACCGAAGGAGCACTGTACTGAGGGTGTTTTCACCGATTCCAGATTGAAGTTTACAACCTCAGTGTTCACCCAGAGTTTGATTTTCTCTCAACCATTACTGAAAGTAATTAGCTAATCAATCATTTCATTCCCTCCCCCCAACTCTAGACACACTGCGGTGTGAAAAATGCTTGTGACAAGTGTCACCCACTTAACAGCAATTAATTGTACGCAAAATAGTTGGAAACACTTTTGAAAGCTGTGATCAAGCATTCTCTTTCAATCTATTATGATATTTTGTTAAAGAAAGCAAGATAACACTTTCAGGAAGAACAGTGACTCTTGTGAAATAAACTGACACCAGGAACTATTTAGGAGGGAGACTGCTGCGTGTATTAAAATCTAAGTAGTTTAGAACATGGATTTTCTAAATAACCACCAAATGGAATTCTACAGAAAAAAAAAGGGCACTTGTGTGGACAAAATAATCTTTGACTTAAGTCAGGCAAGTACCAGCTCTAACTAAAATTAATTTAGAACCATCAATATTCACTAACGTGTTTGGGAACAGTTCTAAGTACAATGTAGAAAAATATTATGTTCTTCTGTTATCTCCCTTAAAGTGAGAAATCCTTATCATAGAATCTCTACAGTGTGGAAACAGGCCCTTCGGCCCAACAAGTTCACACCGATCCTTAGAACATCGCACCCAGACCCATTCCCCCTAACCTAAACATCCCTGAACACTATGGTCAATTTAGCATGGCCAGTCCACCTAACCTGCACATTTTTGGACAGTGGGAGGAAACCGGAGCACTCTGAGGAAACCCACACAGACACGGGGAGAATGTGCAAACTCCACACAGACAGTCGCCAGAGGGTGGAATCGAACCACGTCCCTGGCGCTGTGAGGTAGCAGCGCTAACCACCGAGCCACCATGCCACCCCAATCCTATTTCACAACTCATACTATTTAAGAAGTGTCTCCAACAAGTATAAAACATGGTCTAATTCAGTAGCTTACCTTTTTCATGGCTGACATGGTATCATTGCCATAATAATGCAAAGTGCTATTAGGATTATTGACGTCATATTTAAAGCCAGCTATGTGAACTTTATCACACATAGCAAGTGCCATAGATATTGCAATTATTCCAGTTGTTGGATATTGAGGTGGCTGTCAGAAACAAGTCAAATGTAAGTGTACTTGAAAAAGCAAAACTGATAGAAACAAGCTAAAGGAAAAAAAACTAAGTATTTGCACGTGGCTAATAGATAATGCAAGACTTTGAATAAATAATGCTGTACCCACTTATTACTGCTAAATTTTAAAAACATATTTCAACAATATACATCAGCCAGTTATAAATCTAGGTGAAATTGAACCATCAGTACACAGTTTAATATATCTTTATTACAATAATATTTTCCTCAAATCAGAAATACCACAAAAAAATGCTTACATGCAGTAAATTTCACAAAAGGGCTAGTATGATTTGCCAGTCTAATATTGCTGATTGTGGATCCAACATGAACCCTTGGTCATCATACTGGAACCAATTTAACAATCTGTAAGTATTCTTGTAAGTAAATTTACAGGGCTTACCAATAAAGGGTTAATGAGGGCTCATTAAATTTCTTATTTAAAAAGGTTTGTGCAGATTTGCATAACTAAAAAATTACACAGCATTTCTTTCACCAAGAGGACAGCTCCTCCTAATTCATCTCAGAAGCAGCCAAGTTAAGAGTCGCTTTAACATTTAAAAAAAAAATTAACAATATTTCTGAAGTCTGGTTTTGCGTTTGGGGAAAAACAACAACTTTGGACTCAAAACATAAAAAAACTCTTCACTTGCAAGGTGATGAGCAATTTTTATTTGCTGTTCTCTATGGAAAAATAAGGCCAAGTGACAGAAAACATATTCACAGAATCAGAATCACAGAATGGTTTCAGCCCACTGTGCCTGCACGGATTCTATTACTGACTGCCAATCTCCTGTCTTGACTTTCACCATACCTCTGCACACCATTTCTATCCAAATGATCATCCAATGCCCTCTTGAATGTCTCAGTTGAAGCAGTCTTCACCACATCGGGAGGTAATGGCCTAGCATTATTATTGCTAGATTATTAATCCAGAGACCCAGGCAACCTATGGTAGATGGTGGAATTGGAATTCAACAAAAATCTGGAATTAACAGTCTAATGATGATCGCGAAACTATCAATTGATAGTGAACCTGAAGGGTTTTTCCAATGTCCTTTAAGGAAGGAAACGGTCATCCTTACCTGGTCTGGCCTACATTTGACACCAGACCCACAGCAATGTGGTTGGCACTTAACTGTCCTTTGGGCAATTGGGGATGAGCAATAAATGCTGTTCTAGCCAGTGATGCCCTCATTCCAAGAATGAATATAAAACAAAAGTGCGTTCCATATTATTACTACTCACTGAAAAGGTTTTTTTCTCACATCACCCTTGCCTTTTTTTGCACATCACTTTAAATCTGTGCCTTCTCCTCACCTACTGTTATCGAGCCCACTCAGAAGAGATTTGATGGAGATTTTCAAAATCCTACAAAGAGCAGTCCAACTACTTCAATCTAGCGTCACACCAGAAGTTTCTCATTCCTAGAACCATTCTTACAATTGTTTCTACACTCTCTCAAGTGCATTCCCATCTTTCCTATCATATGACATCCACAACTGCACACAATAGGCGAGCTGACTAACAAATGTCTTGTACAAGTCCATCATTACCTTCTTGTTCTTGTACTCCATGCCCCTATTTTTAAAACTGAGAACATTGCTTGCTTTACTACCTGTTCTCACCACCTGGCCTTCAAATGATCTGTGCACATATAAACCTAGGTCCATCTGCTCCTGCATCCCCTTTAGAATTGTCTATTATCTTATATTGTCTTCCAATGTTCTTTGGAATAAAGTGCATCATTTCACACTATCGGCATTGAATTTCAACTGCTCCCTATCCACCCACTTCACCAACTTGTCAAAGTCCTTTTGGAGTTCTACACTGTCATCCTCACAGTTTACAATTCTTCCAAGTTTAGAGTCATCTGTAAATCAACGTCCAGATCAATTGATATATCAGAAAACTGGTTCCAATACAGACCCCTGGAGAACTCCACTACAAACATTCCTCCAGCCTGGAAAAAAGTATCTATTGACTACTGTTTCCTATAACTCAGCCAATTTTCTATCCTTGTTGCTACTGCCCTTTTTACACCATGACTATAAACTTTACTCAAGGCTGTTGTGAGGCACCATATCAAATGCCTACTAGAAATCTATGAATACTATGTCAACAACATTACCCTCATTGAGCCTGTTACCCATCTAAAAAGCTCCAGCAAGTTAGCTAAACATGGTTTTCCTTGATCAACCCACCTTTTACCATATGGTTACAAATTATATCCCCAATAATTGTCTCAAATCTTCACTTGCTTTTAATTTGGTTCTTTGGGTGCCTGTGAAGTGATTTTAAAAAAAAATGTCACATCAGTATTGACCAGAGAAGAAAGCAGAGTGTCAATTTTCACACAGTGAACTCGAGGGCTGTTCCCAATAACAGTCTGCAGAATCAGGAAGGTACAAAAGCAAAAGTAACTGCGATGCTCCCAATTTCACAGAAGAGAGATGTTAAAATATTGGAGGTCAAGCTATAACCTCATTTGACACTAGAAATGAATATAAACAAATTGGTACCACTCCTGATTTACTGCAGGGTAACAATGATTTACTGCATAAAACAGGTCCAAGGCACATTGATAAGCTTCATTTTAAAAAAAAAAATCAAGTTTTGAAATTACTAAGACTTTCAGTTGGACTTGAATAATTGAAGTTTGCACAATAAAACTTTGCCTTTTGAGTCAGTCACTGCCAGTTTGTTTCTGGTGCGCACTACATGCAACAGCAGCCACATTGCTATCAACTTGAAATTATAAGAAATGCTGATCATAGGTTTCTCAATAGCTGTTCTAGATATCCTACTTTTTTTCAAAATCCAGTGAAAGAAGGAGAAACAAATTTCTGATGACAGATGTAGACCATACACAGGAAATTTGAATGTACAGACATCATGGGGCGAGGTCCTGCTCGATCACCCCAAAATACAGAAGGACATTTGTTTTCCACAACTATACAATAACTTGTTTTAAAAATAAAAAGATACCCAATAAGCCAGTAGTATTGGAAGCAAATCTGCATCCTTGCCAACAGAGAAGGGAGAACCAGGTGGAAGTAGATGGTTGGTGGATGGCTGAGTAGACGACTTGTTCAGTCAAACTTCTGCAGACAGGTTGTATTCAACAGCAAACCTAGAACCTCTAAGAATACTCCTTCAAGCTCCTCTACATAGCATTCACCCCAATGTCCTAAGTCAAACACTGTAGCATTGATTACCAATACCTGAATCTCGAATATAAGCAACAAGTCACAGATCCCCAAGCCTTCCTCACTGAGATCTGGGACTTGTGCCTCAAGGGCGAGTCAAGCCACTTTCTGACATATTCTTACTCACGGAATAAAACTCTTCAGTCAAGATCACAGACGACTCCTTCTCCAATCCTGGAGAATCTTGTACCATCAGCAGGACAGACCCACCAAGAAGCAGAGTGACATATAGTTGAAAGGAAGTGGTCCTGGAAGTCCTCAAAATTCACTCCAGAGCCCACAGGGTCTCCAGGGAAAGGAAACCTCATGCTGCTTAGAATTTAGCCTTCTACTTCAGCTGATGAATCAGTATTTCACTGAGAAGCACCAAAGACTAGCGAGGACACAGAATATGTCCAATACACATCGAAAATGCCGCAGTATTACCACCATTAACTGAGCTGGCTGAGTTCTGGCACAGATAGCTGCCATGCTGAAACTGTGGCAGTTGGTGAGACAGCTAACAAGCCAGAAAAGCCTGCTTGTGTATCATTACAAACCTACTTGTCCCATCTCTCCAGGATAGCAGTGATAGGAACGACCACTGCACAATCTGTGTGCTGTGTGACATTATGCAGCACTATCCTAAATGGGATAGATTCAGCACAAATCCAGCAGCCCCAAAACAGAGCACACTGAAGGTGCTGTGGGTTATCAGCAACAGCAGAAGTGTATTTAACCACACAATCTATAAATTCATACTTTGATATATCCTTCGCTTTATTATTACAACCAAGTTAGGGACCAATCCTTGTTCAATGAGGAGGGCTGAAGAGTGTAGGACAGTAACACCACATGAGGTGCCAACATATTGGATCTATAGAAAAAGGGCTACATACAGGTTAAGTAGAAACAGCATGTTATCAACAGAGCTAAGAGATTATATAACCAAGGATGAGTTCAAAGTTCTATGATCTTACCAAATCCAATTGTGAAACAGCGGGCAAACAAACAGCAGGCAAACAAACAGCTTAAAATAGGTAAGAGGAACCCTTCACAAAAACATTTCAATCCGTAATGCAATCAACAAACATGTGGACTTAGACCCCATATACAAACCCATACAGAACAGAACCAGAAATGACACAACCCAGCTTAACAGACCAGATCATATAAATACCAAGTGGAGTAGAACAACATCGCTTCATCAGAGGCCACAGTGATGTTACCTAGCACAGTGACAAAACACATGTACGATAACCAGCCAGCTCGGCAAGTAAGGCAACAACCACATTCCAATCCTCAAATGACGACAAAGTCCAGCACATTAGTGAAAGACAAGGCAAAACTATTTGCAACCATCCATCTCAGCTTCTTCCTGTGGTCTCCAATAGCACAGACACCAGTTTTCAGCCAATTTGATTCACTTTAATGGTTATCAAGAAATGACCGATTGCGCTGGATACAGCAAAACATTATTGGTTCACATAACATCCCGATGATCATAGTACAGATTTGTGCAGCTTATTTCAGAGCACTTCTAGCCAAAAGTGTTCTTACAATTAGTGGCTAATTATATGTGGATTAACTTAACATCTATTGTTGGAAAAGTATGGAAGTAATAGCAGCACATTTGAAAATCATAATCTGATCAAGCAGAATCTGGATGACTTCATGAAAAGGATAATCATGTCTGTCTAATTTATTCGAGTTCTAAGGAAGTCTTAGCCAGAGTGGATAGGTGGAGACCAGATGTGTTGTATTTAGACTTCCTGAAGGCATTTGA